GCAGGACATTTCCTGATGCACTGTGATGCATTTCACCACCAGAACAGCGACCCTCCCCCTGCCCTGCCTGTCCGCTCTCTTCGAAAGGTACAAACATCACTCTGTATAGTCAGATAACAAAATTTTGTCTTTATTACACACTAAATAAATACTCAGACTTTTTCATTGTAATATATTATGTATACAGTATGTGTTGGTTAGTGAGTTTTGTGCAGAGTTTAGTTGGAAATTTTACTGCTGGAACATGTTTTGCCAACCAGTCTTGAATCTGTAGAAGATATCTGTGATTGTTTGATGGCTTTGCTGTGTCCATTTTAGTTGGGTGATGCTGGACTTTGCAGTTCTAACTGTTCCTCCTCCCCCTTTTCTTCCTCCTCCTCATTCTCCTACTTTTTCCTCTTCTTTCATCTCTTCCACTTGTTCTTCCTTATTTCAATTTGCACAAATATATGCTGTAGATATGATACTAAAATGTAATTCAGGCAGCCCTGCTTTCACAAAAGCTCCTATTTTTCAAATTATCCACACATTGTCTTCACTGACAGAAAATGTATTAGATATATTCCACTGAAATGCTGATAGTTGAGTGTACATACAGTACTGTGGTGTTGTGAAAATACTGGGCACTCTGTCCTTGACTGTACAGTAGGTTAAGAGAAATACACACGACACCCATTGACACACTGTCTCTCTCGCCAGTCTCCTCTCCACCCAATCCCTGGCTCCCCCACCAGTCCTCAGTCAGCTCTGGGGGGCAGTAACTCCACTCTGTCAGGCAGCGCCAGCAGCGGGGTTTCTTCTCTGAGTGAGAGTAATTTCGGAGGTCAGTATCCAGACCCTGGCCCAATCAGGAACGATGCCTTGGAACCTCTTCCCAGCCACCTGTGGTCCCCTCCTGACGAGTACCTGGCTTCTCCCTACCTGCACATTCACTACGGTGGACCAGAAATTGACTCCATGGACCCGGTCCGTCCCTTCCATTACCGCAGCCCTGCCTCGCACCCACACACCCACCCGCATGCTCAAGCTCATGCCCACCCCGGGCTGGACAGCCACTCTCACGGGGCACTGCCTCACCACCACGCTCCTGCTCACGGCCCTCACCACATCCCTTATCGCAGGCCTCAGCCGCCATCCGTGCCGCCTAAACCCTACCTGAGAGAGGGCTGCATCCCTGAGGAGGACCTGTCACCTCAGCCCATCCCGCTGCCCCGCAGGATCTTCCACTCCCCTCACGGCCACAGGGAAGACCAGGGGAAACACGCCTGGGAGCAGTGTATCAGCGAGGAGCATGAGGAGGCGCAGTGATGAGGAGGCTCCGGCTACATTTCACTTACAGCTTTTGTCTCCTTTTCTTTCTTTCTTCATTTGCACTGAATTACGGGAGCAGTAATAGAAAGATGTGAAGCAGTGGAGTGTGCTCACTTTCTCACTATGTTTTAATTTCAGTGCATATGAGGGAAAGAAAAGAAAGCGTGAACCATGATGAATCTACATTATGAGGCACAACCACTGTCACTGCTCTGTGTGGCCTCTTAAATATTAATAAAAGAAAACGATCTGTCGAACAGTAAGACAGATTAACTTTGTTCAAAAATTGGTATTGATTGTACACAATTGTACAACTCGTCTGTGAGCATGTTTTTTCATTTGAGAATTATACGGCAACAGTTTTGTGAAATATGACGACCGTGATCATAACCAACATGATCCCAGGAGCAGTTTAAGCTCTGAACTCTCTTACTTTAGCTTTTTATGTCATTTTCACAACATGAGGCAACTACAGAAGGTTATTATTCACAGTGAAGTGACTTCTCTGCTTTAAATGCTTCATATATAATAATTATTATTTTGATAAATTTGCTACATTATAGTGTTTTCAAAAGCTTATGTCAATTATGTTTTTAAAAACACTGTTAAGTGCTCCTTAATAGTGAATCATATCAGATCGTGCACTCTAATACGTGTTGCTGTCATAAATTGCTCAGACTTGCAGCTCTCCTCTTGGACCGCTATCTCAAGGGACATGAACTTCAGTCACTGATGATTTCCCATCCATACCATGTGTATGGAAACCTACGTGAATGTATTCAGATGAGATGTTCTATTTGTAGTGCACAAGCTGCCATCCTGGTCTTTGTTGAAGTGCTTTAAGTTCAGTCTATCCGTTCTGATAAAGAAGTCTTCATTTGTTTCTTTTGTACGACAAAGGTATCTCAAGAGGAATGACAACGTTCGGCAGACTGAGGGGTAACTGAGGGCAATGACAGGCAGGTCCTACACCTGTCATGTTTCATTTTCACAGTGAATGAAGAAGGGATGGAAGGAGGACGCTCCGCTTCACACCTCAGCCACCTGCTGTACACTTAACGCTAACTGTTCTCTCTCTCTCTCTTTCCATCTTTTCCCTTCCTTTATGGTTGTCAGACCATTTTAAGCAGTGAGGGCTGAACCTGGACAGCTGCAGTGACACTGTCTAGACCCCCGCCTGCTGAGTGGTCAGTTGAGGAGCCCACTCAGACAGGGTTGGAATCGCCTATCTGCCTTAAGTGCACTCAAATGCAGTTTGACCTCTGCTCCGGACTGTGAGAAGCTCATTTAGTGACAGCCGCACTCCTTTTCATTCTGTTCACTATACGCTTCCTGAAGGAAAAAGATATCTACCTGGTGATGTTTTGTATGGTTTTGTCTCACTTTGGTTTCAGATTGTTGTTTGGTTTACAGCGCTAATATTTCTTATTCTGCCTGTGACTCTTTCTCAGTCACCTTCTGTTGTGTGAAGACTGATGATGTGTTTCAGAAGAGCGCTGAATCCCGTACTGAGAGGGAGGTTTGCTTTTTGTGGAGCAGAAGAACAGTGCTGTTTATTGTGATATAGTGAGCTAGAAGGATATAGCTAATATTTTAATAATTACTTGTTTTCCTGGTTGTTTCTTTTTCTTTTTCCTTTATTTTTTTGCAGGTGGATGCTTTGTGTTACTCTACATCAAGTTGTCAGCTGACTAGACAACATCTATTTTTGTATGTGAGATTATCAGTTGTGTGAACATATTTCAGCCGTACCAAGACAGAAGGCCCGGGTGATATAGACCGCTGTACTTTGTATGGAGATAAACTTGAGGATAGATATATACAGTATGTGAGTATCTCAGCGAGACTGATAGCGTTGAAGATAACTGGTGACTGATGATAGTCAAACTATAGGTACAATAGAATTTTTCAATGTAAATTCTGTTATTGTACATACAGCAGTATTGTGAAATATTTTTGAGAATTATCGAAGACGCCCCAAAAAGGTTTATTGTTGTTTTGTGTATATACATGTACTCCAGAGATCAATGTAATTGATAAATATCTATAATCAGTGTTTGAAAAAGGACAACTCCATTAGACTGTGGCTGTCTCCACTGTTCTTGAATTTAAGTCTTCTCATATAAATACTTTATACACTTTTCAATGTGCTTTCCTGTACATATGGTGTTAGCATGATCAAACAGTGTTTGGTTGTAAAAGTGGTTTTCCTACTCCCATAACTGCTGTGGTATGGAATTCATTGATGATGCCAAACATTAAAGACAATCTTTTATCAGCTGTAATGCTTCCTTCTTACCTTTTCTGTGCTGTGATTGGAGCAGTGTGTGGAGGCGACAGTAGAGGTCGCCCTTTGTCATTACAGTACAGTGCCAGGGCAACAACGTGGTGAGAGTTACTGTAATGTTTGCATGGTTTTGTCTGTGTGTGTTTGTGTAGATAACAGCATGCCACACAACCCCTGGCTCCAAACTCTTCAGCTGCAGTGACAGATACGGTCCCTGCTCACACCAACTTAAGTATCAGACTGTCAATAACATCTTATTTTGAAACTCAAATACAATATACAAAGTCAAATCATGATACCTTCAAGGATAATCAGAAATATCAAACAGTTTTATATGACAATGTAGCATACATTGAAAATCATCATCAAATTAAAATGGGCCGATCTGTTTAGTTGCCTTTTTTTGGGTTAGATCCTTCTGTTATTGTGGATTTTGTAGATTCTAATGCTTGAGAATAACACAGAATCATGTATGATATTATAATGAATTCAGGTATTAAAATAATATTTTAGATAGAAAAGGAAATCAAGATTCTCAATGTTCTTCTGTCATATTTTAAACTTGCCACTGGATGGACTTCAGATGAATTACACTGTAGTTGTGTGTCTGCTTGCCTCCTCTCTGGCAACAGTGACGACTCTGCGCTCTCAGTTTCACGTATGCATGATGCAGTTACAAAAAAAAAAAAAAAGAGAGTTAGGATGGTAGGATCTTAGCTGCCTCTCCAGAGGATGATGATGATGCTGTGTTGCATGCTAATGCAGATACTGAATTTCATTTTTACAGCATTACTGTGACTCATTTCATTTTTACAGCTCTATCTCTCTGTCGGCACCCTTTGGTTTCTTCCTCCAAACTCCTCTGATATATTGTCTCATTGTGTTTTATCCTAAGGGAATTACAGTGAATGAATTCAGCATAATCATGTGGTTAGATGCATGCGATTGCATTGCTTGGCAAGACAGGTAGAGCTTGGTTCTCTTTTGGGTTTGCACTGTCCCATTCTGCAGTTATTGTTTGGGACACACAAGCACAATGTGAAAAGCATCTCTCATAAATGCCAGCAAGTGAAATGACAAACTGCCATCCAGACTGTGTTTGGAGGAAAACAAAAATAACCTGGATTTGGCATTGCATCTCACTGTGTATGCTGCTTCCTACTTAATGCGTGTTCCTGTGCTGCTACATTAATTTGATACTGATTTACTCAAAATGCTGCATCTACTGTGTAAATGCCTGTGAAGCAAATGAACAGAATGACATCATGTTGTGCACCTGATAGCTTCAGCAAAGGTAGAAAAAAGACTTAACTATGAGACAGATGCAGCCACACAATGACATGAAACAAAGACTTTTAATAACTGAAACAGTACTAATAAATAAAGATTAAACAATCTGCACATTCAAAATAAAATCAACAAAATTAATATAATACTGAACAGTAGAGTTACATTACAGTAGCACAAATTATTAAAAAAAAACAAACAAACTTCCCCCGAGACATTTACAAATTTCTTAAAAACTTCTAGAGGCAAACATAGACATTGTATAAAAGCATCATACAGTTGAGCATTTGTCATCTGAGTATAATTTACAAATTTATTGAAGGATAAATATTCGTAGCTGATCTCAAACTTGAGAAATACATGTAAAAACTGTTATTTAAACATATATTTCTCAGGTGAGGTTCCAGCCCTTTTTTTCAGTGATCAGTAACAGTGATGAGGTGATGATGACAGCAGTCTATCGATTCATGGGAAATTCACAAATTATCTATAACTGTAAGTAACTTTGAATAGCTGTATCCACATCTCCATTGGTCTCTTCTCTGTTGGTGCATCACAGAATAAAAGTCGTGAGCATCTCTGCCAGAGGATATGGCTACATCAGGTGTTTGTGGAAACACTGCACAGCTGTCCCTGGACCTGGAGATGAACACTACATCAGTAGGGAGCAAATTTCTGTCTCTCTGGCTTTTTGATGCAGTTGGCCGAGGAGATTTTAGCAGTGTAGGCTGCCAGAGTGGTGTGGGTAGGTGCTGCAGTGACAGCCACGGTGGGGGCAGGGCTGGACAGAGTCAGAAAGGGGACAGACTTCATCCCCAGCAGGCCAGACAGGGGCACAGCACCATATGGGGTGCCCAGCATATGAGCTGGGGTCAGGGCTCCTACTGCGGCCAGGGTGGGTGCAGAGGAGGCAGCTGGGGAGGTCGGTTGGGTGAAGGCCATGTTGAGGTCGACCGGAGTTGCCATGGTGGCTGCCTGGGCTGTGGATTTGGCTGTCTCTAAACTATGAGGGCAGAAATAAGGAGAAGGGAGGAGGAGGAGGCATGGAGACAGGACAGAAAAGGCATCTGACATAACTTTTGTAAATTTCCACTACAGAAACACTTGCCAGTGTAAAACACTGTAGCTCAACAGCAGCACAAACAATCTCTTTCAAAATGATCATACAGTTCTATAAAAACACTTCACTAAAACAGTTTGAACAGAAATGGAGGAGGTTTTACTGCAGGACAGTTATTATGCCAGTGTTGTATCAAGATGCGTCCCCCTGTTAAAAGCTGTGTCTCCAGTAGTGGCCCCTGGCATTAGTTTTAGCTTGATGTATTTCTAGGCTTACACTTGAAGAGATTCACTAGATGAATGTACATGCCACTGGGCCTTACCAGGAGGTAATGAGGTACTGGGCCAAGTTGATGCTGACTGGTGTTCCTGTGATAGTGACATGACGGTCACTTGTCCCGTCCAGCTGGCTGCCGATCTTGATCTGAGCTCCTGACACTTGTCTGATCTCGTTGATCTTAGTACCCTGACGGCCAATGATCGATCCAATCAGCTACAAAAAAAATAAATAAATAAAGGCCAGACAGATTGGTCATTTTGAAAGACAGATTAATGGCAATGTTGATATACAAAAGAGGACAGAAGACGTGCTTTATGAGGAGATGGTTCAATAAATCATTTGACTGAATGCAGCTTTTTTTTCATTGCTGGTTCTGTTATGCTGATGAAAGTAATTCTGACAACAAGGGCAAGAGCAAAAAACTAGAACAAAAAGAGCGTGCAGTGCTGTTGAGCTGACTTAATGCAGACCACTTCAAATATTGCAATTACATTGTTTGTCTTCAATGGACTGGTCATTCATCATGCATGTCAAAAGCACTTTCCCCCTCCCCCGAGTCTCCCTTAATTGCTACTGCTTGTGCACCAGTAAAAGAGACGAGAGAAGGCACATTTGCCTCTCATTAATCTGAGTAGCTAAAAGGTTATTGATTCTTCAGAGTAGTGGTGACTTCCCAAACAAATCACTTCCCAAACACATGTCAGCTAGATGCATCTCCGCACTAATGGAAAACATAATGGGAAAATAACTCAAATACATTTTATACAGTCCCATTGGCTTGAGCATTCTCTCTGTGGAGAGTAGTTTAGACAATGACACGGCTTTTATTGCATTCCCAAATACATTATCACTTTTGTTCTGCTTTCATTACTCAACCTGGACCCCTGCCTATTAGTGCCAATAGATATTTAACAGACCCGGAGCTCAAGGCTGTGTCTCAGCTCAAGTGCATGGTGTCAGAGCTCAGTGACAGGGTTACACTGCCAGATATATAATGAGTGGGACAGACAGTGATGAAGTATTTGTAGTATGTGTGTGCTGGTAGATGATCAGCAGCTGATGCTGAGGTACTGTAGAAATAAACAACCCACACACACAAACAGAGTGTTGGTGTCACACTTGCCACTGCTTTTCACATTCCTTTCCTGAGAAGTAAGCAGCCTGTTTCACAATGTCTGATGTGTCACACAGCGACCCGGTTGGTCTGCCTGGCTATTATTGGCTCAGCAGTTTATTTTTGGGGATGGGGGGGACATATAGAGAGTAGCCAGCCTAAAGAGCAGCTATAGAGACAATGGCCACTACAGACCTCATATCACAGATAACGTCTCTCCCCCTGCTGAGACCAAAAACCTCCACTGGACTCTGCCCTTTTAACACCAGCTGTCAATAGATCCCAGCTATCAACAGCTCAGCCACTTTGGTGTGTACAGTATGACCTCAGACAACAGCATTCCTCTACGGACAGCCACAAAAACGGAAGAAAAAAAAAAACACCATCAGGTGTGCTTGCTGTAATGATTATTTTTTTCTAATTATTTGAATAAGAGTAATGCTGCACAGTCTGCTCCTGGTCTTCAAGTATAAGTGGCCTA